TTGCTCCCTTTAGTCCTAAATATGCTTTTAAAATAAAGCTATTTTAAAACTTCACTTGTGATGTAATTTCACAAGTAACATCTTGGTTTACAAAATGTAATTCCAAATGGTCGTTGGAGCGTGCCAGCGATCACACCAAAAAAGCCGAGCCCATGGAAAGATCACAGACAACCGAACATTATTTGAAATTCTCAGTGCAATACGGTTGCCGCGATGAGTTGATGCGATGGTAAATTTATCTGGCCTTTTGACACTGGTGTTTTCATGGCCATTTAGACTACGAGTAGTCCCTCTTTCGTTTAGTCCGTCGAGTATGACGCATCACAGCGCGAGGAAAAAATGTCTGGAGGCATCTATAAATAAACCTCGAGGAAAGAATAGCCCATTGCAACAACGTGAGAGGACTGGAAAAGAGTATGGTTGTCTTCCGTTTGTTTGAAAAACTAAGATACTCAAATGGAAGATCAACTAAATTTGAGAATCTTAAGCAAGAACAGAAGTATTCAGAGGAGGAAAATGGCAAGATGATAGCTCTTCAAATATCACCTAAAATAGAGAGTTTGTATGGATTGGGGAGACAGGCCACAAAATTTTAAGGGTTTGTATGGAATTTTGCAACTTTTGCAAGGCTCCCATTTGGACAATTTTCCGCTGAAAACTCTCAAACTTGACTGGGTAGCTTTTCATTTCGTAAACTTTTTCAGTATTTCAGTTGAAACGTTTAGATTTCTAATCAATATAAGAAACTCGTCCCAGTCCTCTCACGTTTTTTTAAAGCCGTAAAACCGGTCAAAAATGGACACAATTTGCGCCCAAAATGTATGGAAGACACAAAGGACACCCTATGTTGAGGTAACTGAAGTTTGTTCCTATGGTTTATTTTAGTATATTAAGGACTAAAGGGAATTTCCCATACAAAGTCTCTTAAACGCGTTTGGCGTAAAAAGGCTTAAAATTTAACCGTAAGGCGAAAAAGAGCTTAAATTTTAACCGTTTTTAGCCGTAAAACAAATTGAGAACCGTTAATCGTAAAAAAAAAATTATTAGCGCAAATTAATTAAAGGTCTCAAATGTCTTGTAAAGAACTCCATTTGCGTATCGTGGTGATGATTCAGCTGTTGGGTTGGAAGAACTGCTCACTAGTAGAGCGGCGATAACGAGGTCAGGGAGGCAGGTCAAGGCGTGCACACGTTTTGATGTTTAAGAGGGCGTAAAGCGGTAAATCCAATCAAAAATGTAAAAAGAAGCATGATAATCATCAAATTCCTTGTTGTGTTTCTTATAAAATTAAAAGTTCCAAATTTCTACGTCCCGCAATACAGGACTGATATGTATTTGTGGACCAGATAAATTTCATTTTTGTCAACCGAGAATGTTCCCTATACTTTTCATGATTTCACCATGCTCCACACCGATGTAAACTAACTATTATATTTCCAGTTAATTATTATATTACAATGTAAAACAATGGTAATTAGTAATTAAAATTTCAGTTAACCGCAACGGGAAAAAATTAACCGTTAGCCGAAAAAGGGCCAAAAATTTAACCGTTAGGTGTAAAAATGCTTAAAATTTAACCGTTAGCTGTAAAAGCCACTACCCCATTAAGACCCTCTGATCTTACCCAGGTGGTATCCATACAGTGAGACACTGATCATAGACCTAACAGTAAATATTAGTGCGTGGTACCTATCTGCTTATTCGCGGAAAATGCACTTTAGAAGTTAGTATTTAATCCACTTATTTTCATCTTTAGACCTTTCGGCGTGCCTGAAACCCGTCACTTCAGCGTTTTAAGCCTGTTATTTGTTGTCAAATTTGATTTAAACGCAAGCAAGTTGCGTGAACAGAGGGCTCGGACACTGACAAAATAAAATGCTAAAAACAGCCTGTTACAAATAGCTACAAATGCTTGAGTCACCAAGGTCTACATTCCAGTCCCCGTCAAAATAAATAAATAAATAAATCTGTACAGCATGGTTGAAACTCGGATTTCTAAAATCAATAGCATCAAACGCCATCAATTCATCGTTGGTTTTGTACCTGTCTTTCGTAGCCAAAATTGATCAACCCGCAAATTGCCTCAACCATATATCTATCTACCTATCTATCTACCGCCATTTACAGGAATCTTACATTGGGAACCCAAAGAATGGTTACACAGGAATGTACCGAACTCACTCCATACCCTCGTGTCCATGTGACTTTGGTCACGAGGACACGAGCCAAAAAGTACTCAGTCTTCATGGTCCGCACGGTCAACAGTCTGCATGGTCCGCACGGTCTACAGCCTGCATGGTCTGCGTTTTGGGGTGTCCGCTATGTTCATAACGATCTTGAATGTTTCATCAAACAGACCGGCTTGTATCAACAGTCTTATGGGATTTCCCTCTTTTAGCTAGATTTTAATCTTGGTCAATACGAACTGGCATGGCAGAATAAAGTACGAAAACCTTATCTCTGAAATGGCCGTCAAGTCACGTTGCGTGATTTGTCAGACTAAAATTTCCTTGTGAGAGGCAGACCGAGACATTAGCCCTTTCTTCTAGTCCAAGTACATTTTCCTTTGCGATTGACACAGAGATCTCTTCCTCAATTGACTAGCTAAACTTACATATTTGAATTCCACTGCGTAGAACATTTTCACCTTGAAACCCTCACTTCCCCT